ATGTTGTCTCTATTTTCTCTCGTTTCAGTTTAACAGATTGCTGCATCTTACTGCGATTCCAGTGTTCTGGATGGTGGTTCTCGTTTCCATTTTCGCCTTGGTTCCTGCTTGAGTTCCTGTTTTTCTCTACCTGTTTCGTCCATAGAGACTGCTTCAAAGAAAAGAGGACGTACCTTTGTGTGAGCGGATTTTATAACATGATGTGTGCTGCTATTGGTTATTCGGTTTTCTGTTATGTTTTTCTTTGCAGCTATGGGCATAGGGTAAAAAGAGTTATGGTATAAGGGCTTGTTTATTAAACAATGAAAATAAGAGGATTTTCGAAATTCAGTAACCTATAGTCAATGATCAGATTTTATTTTTTTAAAGTTGTTTGTAATTAATTAATCTACTTTACGCACTGCCCTTTTCCATAATAGATCAGGGCATATATACTGTACACACTATATGTATTCATGCAACTGGAAAAATGTTTTGATTCATTGCTGCCACTGTAATGAAAGCTGTCTATGAGACCAGCTGCTTCTTGCATGTGTGGCTGTGCCCTAATTATAACAGTTTAACCATATAAAATTAATTCTGCTTCACAATTACTGGAAAACTTGGTAAGGGTAATATAAAAAGAATAATAATATAAAGAAACCAGCTAACAAATAAACAACACAAGAGGTACGTTGAAATACTTTTTACCCCTTAGTAGAGCATAGAAAAATATTTTAAGCAATGTAAGACCAATCCCCCACTGGTGGTTGTAGAACCACTTGTTTTTCCTAGCTACTTATAATGTGCCTTCCAGTAGCCATTCCAAGGTTGTTTTGTTTCTTTCTGTTTGAACATCCACTGCATTACACAATTCCTCTAAGCACGTGGTCAAGTAGAGGTTGTCTGATTTAAACATTTCATTAAATTATTTAAAATTAAGCTGAACTACTATTATGTGAGCACTGTGTTTAGATATTTAGCATGGCTTAGCAAACCTTACTGTATCTTACAAAGATTGAGGGCCTATGTATGCATTGCTTCAGCCTGGAATACTCATTACAAAGAAGTTTAATCTCTCCACAGATCATTTGAGGAGACTATGTAGTAGAAGTGTAGTATCAAGCTTATCACTTGATATCAGGACAACTTAGTCTTAAAACTGCCTATCCTGACCACAATTAGTTTCTTTAATGTGTTCTGTCATGACCTTGTCACTAGGGCTTCTACAGTGTGGGAACACACCTCATTCTATACCATAGAAAGAGGGTCTTGATTTAGTGTCTGGATTTCAGAGACACTTAAGGAACCATGGCCAGGTTTGAAGACCTTCTGTAAAGCCCTATTCAAGTCTATGGGAGCCTACTGCATAGACACAGGCCGTGTCAGACAAGATCTCTGCACCCAAGCTGTAAATACTGCAGCAGTCCGTAAAAGGTAGGAAAATGGGTGGGGGTGATAGCTTAGAATAGGTTAGGGGGGCTTATGAGTTTTATATGCAATTGTGAACCTGTTCTTTAAGGTTTTTGCTGAAAAGTAGTGGTTGTAATATACTTTGAGATTAAGAAAAAACAGATTCCATGGAAGCCACAGGTGCAAAACTCATTGGAACAACAAAAGAGGAAGCTGTATAAATTGTAAGTGGGGTTCACAGCTACTCCTTGTACACAGGCGAAGTGTGGCAGGTAGTGTGGGCCTTCTGTATCATCAGCAGATGGATCGGGTTCCTCTGAGTAGTGCAGGAAGCATCTCCTGTTTACCAGAAACCCTAACAAGGATGTACAGGTTTCCGTGTTTTACATTCCATGGATGCAGCCTTCAGGTTTGCCCCACTGGTGACAGCTGTCATGTAAGTAGACAGCAAAAGTAAAGATAGATGTCAGCAGGCAAATCTGTAAACTATCAATGGTTATTGGTCACAGCAGATGTGCAGACAGATAATAAAAGTAGATCCCTGCAGGGAGCCGTGACTGACAGTCACTGCTCTCTGCAGGGAGATGATCGAGAAGTGAGCGAGCGACGGTATGTGTTCACTCACTTCCCGATCTATTGAGCTTACGTGTGACAGTTTAATTGTCACATGTCGCCTCGAACTATGAGGATGAGTGATATGCAATCACCTCATAGTTCTCCTTTAAGAGTGTCTTATGATCTGGGACCATAATGTTAGTAAGTATTTAGTTCCTTGTCATGACCAGAAAAAACACTTGATCTTGGAAGGAATACAGTCATCTGCTCCAAGATAATTTTTTCAAAGAAACGTTGTGCAGAGAAAAGTATGTAGGCTTCTGTTGCCAACTATCTATAATGCTAGTTGCCTGGCTGCAATGGTAATTCAATATCGTTCTCCAGTCCAGCCCAAAACAACATATAGCAAGTGTCACAGTATCAGAAATCCTAAAAACACTGCATTTATTGGATCAATATGACAGAGAAAAAAGCAGCCATTTAACATACAAGTATATGTGTATGTAACAGAATTCAGTGGTCGGTGACTAGAGCAGGAGGGACGAAGGGACAACTGCAAGTCTCAAAATGTACAACCTATGATAATATTTTTTCTTATGCTGCTTCTCTCTTCTGGCATTCATTTGTTGCTTAATTCAGAAAAGTCAAATTACTATTCATTAGTTCTATAGTTGAGGTCACTGTGTCTATAAAACCATTTACTTACCATCATCCAGATTGCTCTCAAGAGCAGGGCCCTCCTAACCCTATTGTACTGAAATTGTATTGTAACTGTACTGTCTCCTCCATTTTCTAAAGTGCTACACAAATTGTTGGCGCTATATAAATCCTGTATAATAATAATAATGATAATAATAATAATAACAATTTAATTTTTATTAACAATCATATCAAATCACATAAACCTATCCAGAATTGGACATCACCTCAACTAGCATACACCTATAATAATTCTCCCCAAACTTATATTTCAGTTTTGAATGGACAATAGTGAGTTAAACACTGTGCCTACTTCTTATACTGTATGTCTCAAAGAGATTTTCCCATAAACGCTTGTGTCTCCAATCACTTCCACAAGGCCATAACGAAGGTGACACTTAAATTGAAGATAAATAATTCAGAGCAGGAGGTTGACAACATTAGTTGGCTCTCTAATGGATACTGTTATGTGGTGAAATAGAAAAATCTGGTATGTTTATCTAGGCACTGGACATCTTGAAAGACCTAAAAAGTCAGCAAATTAATCTCAAATGAAAACATGCACCACATGGGTTTAATATTCTTAATAGTGAAATACCCTGGTAAGTAGATTGCTGGGCTTCAATAAAAATTGGACATACAGAAGAAACTGTGCACAGGTTACCACATAAACAAAAAACATTCGGAGAAAGATAACCCTGATAAATGAATAAGTCTTCAGTCTTGCTGAGGTGCACGGCTGTAGCTTTTAACTCATACCAAGGAGATAATGCATTAAAACTGGAAAAAAAGTGAGCACAAAATTGGAGAAGCTACAATGGCGACCAATGGCATCACAAGGGGGTGCGGCCCACACTCGGGTGACACCAATGGAGGGGGGACACCAAAATGACTGACAGTGATTTTGTTGTCACCCCCTCTGAAAAGCTGAGCACTCTGTCATGGACCGTGAGCCCGACAGTTGCAGGAGAGAGGAGGGGACCCGGCGGCATACCTTATCCCACCAGGTGAATGTCCCCTCATCCCTCCGCCGGCAGGTATCACAAATATGGCCGCTCATGCACAAAAATGGCCGCGCATGCCCAATAACGTCACGGCTGGGTGTCACCCGGTACTGGCTCTGGGTGACACCCGGTCTCGAGACGCCCCTGATGGCAACCAATCAAAACTTTTATTTACAGTGCTATTAAAGTTAAAAGGTTTTTAGGCTATTTCAAATCCTGATGAAATCACTTACATCTTTGATCTTTATAGGTGCTCTTTGATCTTTATAGGTTTTAGCTTCCTGCAGGATCAACTGGTTCCCTGAGTACTGGCCCTTATATTGCATTTTAGGATGGCGCCTATCTCTTGCAGGGTCCTATGGATCCACCCTTGCGTGTGCTATTAAGCTGTGTGTGTCTCCACAAACACACAGGTACAGTAAGGCAAGCCATTTCCCTGTTCCCCACTCTTCCCTCCTTTCCTCTACAAGCTAGTAGGTAGACACCTGCTAGAAACTGTGCCCTCCCTTGTGATCTTCTACTAGACAGGAAGTTCATGGAATCTGAGGTGAGTGAGCAGAAGCAAGCTGGTTGGAAACATTATTATAATTAGAAACAAATAATTTGCTTGGCAATGTATATTTGTTTGATCTGGATTCATTAAAAATATTTTTTTTTTGAGTTTAATGCTACTTGAATTGTTCCACTACTATTGGCAATAACTCAAAATGTGCTGATTTTTTGGTTTTCAGTTTTAATGCATCAGCTTCCTCTTGTCCCTTCTAGTAGGTTAAAAAATGGTATGAAATTTAAGAGCTTATGTAAAGCAACCGCTAAATGCACAGCTCCCATCAATTGATACATTTTCACAATTGTAGAGAAGGAAAAAATGGCATAAAGTGCACAAAGATAATTTAAGATATAATGCTTCTTTCACTGTTGTAGGTAATCAGCTGCCTGGCACATTTGGAAGTAAATCACATAACAATAGCTCAGAAACACTCATCCTACAGAGTAATATCTCCTCTCCTAAGTGTATATATATATATATATATATATCTGCTATAAAATGACTTAAACACCTTACAAATATCATAAAATGCAAATTTATTTTAGCCATGCTAAATGGAAATCATTCTTCCCTCGTATGGATTACACCCAAATGCTAAATTATAACCAAACAACACAACAAAAACAACTGAAGAGTAAAAACAACACCAAGAACAACAGCAACAACGACAACAACAGCATTAGCAGCCGCGGTGAACAATGCAGGATTGAGCAGTTACCACATGAATAAAACAAGTACAAAAAAGCTCATAACAAACAAGAGCAAAATGCTTGCAGGAATATTTTACAAAATCATCTTACCTTCTTCAGTCATAGTGTCATAATATTTTAGTTTCCCATATGATCCAATTTCTACAACATCATAGTAAAAACAGAAGGGTAAGGTTCTAGCAATAAGGTGGAAGGAGTATAACATATACATGTACTAAAATAGCCTATCAAATGCAAATAACATTAATTGTGTTTAGGTGTCCAATATATGATTTTTTCATTTCTAAATGTTAAAGGGAGACTATAATAAACCAATTAGTTGTAAAAACTAGTGTAGGGAAAAAATATATTACCGTTTATAAATGCATATGCAAAAAAGTCAAGTTAAAGTGAATGTGCAGTGTTTTCTACAATTTGTCATGGACTAACAATTAAAAATGTTATTTTATCCACTTTTCATTTAGACTCGCTCATCCTCTGAGTTTCAATTGGCCTCCTCTGCCCTTTGAGTATATAAGACATGATGTCACTGACATGTTTGTAGGCCCAGTCCCTCTTCCCCACCCTTACCATTCCTGCTTACTCTTCTTCCCTGTTCTACTCCCCTTTCCCTCTTCATTACTTTACTTTGAGTCTCCTTAACAGGGCTTGAGTGCTGAAAGGGCCCTCAACGATGTTCATCCACCCTTTTTTATGTTTCATTTTCATTGACATGTTTTCTGATAGCCCGTTAGGACTTCAATGGTTGCGCACCTTGATTTGGATTTTGTACATTTTATTTGTATATGCAACACTGACCGATCTGTACTCCCACATTGTGCTACTATGTTGTACTTACGTTCCTTGTTTGAAAAATGTAGAAAATCAATAAACATTGACTGAACGAAAAATTTTATTTTATATTTTTTTAGTCTGATAAATATGAAATACTGTGTATAACTATTTAATACTTACCAAGTTTAGATAGCAGATGGCACTGGGTATAATATTTTAATAATCCTTAACTATGCAATAAAGAGTGTAATTTGATCCCCCGCTCTTAAACTCTATTCAGAATTGGTTGAACTTGATGGACTTATGTCTTTATTCAACCTCAAATACTATGTAACTATGAATATACACACAGCTGAATGTGTCAGAGGATTTGCAAAGCTCTGTATGAAGAGTCAATGAGTGAGAGAGACACTCTACAAGTGATCAGCTACCACTGGGCTGTCTTATTGGAAAGCCCAGAAAGCTCTATAGTTTCAGGGAAGCATCGTATATTGAATGTTTATTTTTAAATACGAATTTTATACATGTAATGAAGAAAGTGATAGAAAAGATCAGCATGTAAACTCAACATTAATAATAATACAACTTACCAAAATGCATTATAACTTCCATTTAAGTAGTATAGAGGGTAACAGTATTTTCCAAAATAATGCTGGCTTTAAATCCTGTAGTACCATAAAAAAAAGCTGCCAGCCATCAATTTAGTGTATTCTTTTGTATAGTATTAGAGCTAACATTGCAGAAACGACTGTACACCCCATATTATTCATGTCAGTTATCCCAGATATTATACTGGTGTGGTTACTTTTGCTTTCTTTCATACAATAATTTCATACATACAATAATGACAAAGGACTACTTTCAGGTGTCCTCTGTGATTATAGGATGCAGGGAAGCACAGTTTGTTATACAAGGGTGGCCACTAGTCCTATATAGAGCTGCAGCTAACGATTATTTTCAAAATCGATTACTTAGCCGATTATTAAGTTCGATTAATCGGATAAACAATAAAATAAAGTTTAAAAAATGGCTCCAGTGATAGGACTACTAGTTTGTATTGAGGTTGTAGTCCATCACAGGAGCAAGCTTGGAGCGGTGGAAGTAAAAAAGATAGTGTAGTGTGCAATATAGTGAAATGGAAAGTGTAAAATTATACAGCAATGAATGCAGAATGGCACCGGCTATAGAGGACTACAAAACCCAGCAAAAGCACATTATACAGCGCAATGCAGAACACCGCCAGCTATAGAGGAATACAACAAATCCCAGCAATAGTACATAATAGCTGGCGGCATTCTGCATTGCACTGTATAATGTACTATTGCTGGGTTTTGTAGTCCTCTATAGCTGGTGGTATTTAGCATTGTACCACTTTATAATGTA